ATCATGGGGACAGCCCCAATACTAGAAATGGCGCGCGCTTACGGTCTCCGTCCCCGATTATGGTTCCTGGCGATATTTATAATTATGATAATTCGCCGCCCAGGACTGAATCTTTAGAATGTGTATAACGTAGAGAAGTCGATAGTGTTTATGTTTTCAGGTCAAGCACAGCGTTATTTGCTGTCACGAGAACCTACCAGTCCATTGCTTCTCAGTTTATGTTTTGATTGGTTAGTTTTCTTCTAGGTAGCCCGATTCAAATAGTCGCACTGAATACGATTAAGTTAAGTTTCAAATGCAGTATTGTTTGTTAATGCTATTTTTATAGACACAGTACTGTAAGTTACAAAGTGTTATAGATAAATCTTAAGCAATATATATCTATTTTATCATTTCTTATTACACATCCTAGTCTTACCAATAGCGGATAAATTAACCATATCGAAATTTATTTTTGAGTAATTACTGATACGGTAACACGGAACATTGAGAAGAAATACTCTTTACTCATCAGTGCAATGCAACTGCAATCTGTAGAGTAGCCATCACACCGAGCTGTTGGAACATGCATTTGACTTGAATCTAATCTAATGTATTACATGCAAGTACTATGCAATAAAATTACTTTTCAATCATTAATTAAATAAAGTGCACGTGCAACGTAGATTACGTTTCGGGAATGTTCCTGATTTTCTATTTTTAGAAAATGTTTATGCTAGACTGATCACATTTATGGCCTTATTTTTACAAACTAGTACTGCTAAATCAGTTTCACTAAAAGCACACAAAAATGTCAGTTTTCACTACAATACCTTTCAAAAACCATAAGCTAAGTGATAATCTGGATAATGAGAACTCATTAATCAGGACTGGGGCCTAGACACTTCCTCGATCATTATCCGGGACACTGAATACCATCCAGTGTAAGCGGCGCCCAAAGTAGTGCCACTAGGGCAAGATCCTACCCATAATTCCACTCTAACCATGCCCTTTGGGATGTTTTCACAGTATCCCTCAAATGATCGATGATGAAGCAGCTCGTGAGTCCCAGATGGCCAACCATTGTACACAACAGCTTCGATTGTCATTGGTCCAATGCATTCGTTACCATTAAACTTGAAAAACCACCGGTTACACTTACTAGAAGAACCGTGGACATATTTCCCTGGAATGAGACTTTGATTGCAGTATCAGACTGCAACTTATTGAACGAGCAGTCCTAGAACAAACGAAAGTAAAACAATTCAGAACTCATATCAAAAAATTTTATCGCATTTTGGCTTGATTTCTTGATTTGTATCCTTAACTGGGATTAACTGAACAACGATCATCAGTTCTTAGCTCCGTGGGAGAAAGTGTCAAGAGTGGTGTTAGGCACACAAGTGCGAGGGGCGAAGCCGCGAGAAAAGTGAGCCTGCTCTGATCTCTACAAATCTTTCATTTCCGCCCCGGAAACCGCAGAAAAAATAAGCCAACTAATTTTCACCGGAGGTATGAACTTTGGCAGCTCAGATTTCTCGGGAAAATTGTAAATCTCTTTCATGACAACATTCAGGCGTGATATCCGTTGCTGACAACGTTTTGCCGAAGAAAAACCGTCAAAGTTTATTTCTAGCAAGGACAAACACTTGATTTCAAGTGATCTGGTCTTTGATGATGCTTGTAAACGGGCAAACGCCTTCGTGTTGTTTCGTTGTCCGCTTACCATCTGGTATGTTTGCAATACATTGTGTCTAGAAAGATTGTAAATTCAGTGCCGGATCTAGGGGAGGGGCCCGGGGGCCCGCACCCCCCCCCCCC